CCTGGGCTAGGTGCTGTTCTTTTGCGGGTAGTGCAGATAACCGCGAAACACAGTAGAGACCGCTGTTGGATGCAAAAGCCTAATCGTAAAGTTCTTTTATAGTCATTCTCAGTAAAACGTAAAGAGCGCACGACCGACCACTCCCTCGGCTTCCACCTGCTTCCTCTCACTGACAGCCCTTGCTGAGAAATATTCTCCAGCCAAGCATTGCCACACTGTAGATCGCATGGGAATATATGGTACTGCAAGGTAACGTCTACCCAACAGCTTAATGGCATCACAGCGCTAGATTACACCATCTGCTATAAATGCACGCACAATAAACACCGCACGCTAACACAGAGAAAATGTGTCTAGCTGCCCACACACATGGTCACACAGAGCAGTGGCCGTGTACAAGCAAACTACACGACAAAGCACACAAACGCTCATGAATCCTGCTTTGACCTCAATGCTGCACGCACCAGTGTCAACTTTGTGTATGGGAGCAATGACGTTCTCCTGCTCCCCGACGGCCCTTGGCCAGAATTATTCTTCAGCCAGGTTTCAGGATGTTGTAGATTTCAGGGGAATTTGTGGTACTGCAAGCTAGCGTCTCTTCTCATGTTCAACTTGCACAACGGCACACAGAGCAACTCAACAAACACGCACACTATAAAAACTGCCCTCAAACACAGGAAACATTATGCAAACTGCCCCCCACACACGATCTCACAAAAAAAAAAGTATGAGAAAGCGCATGAAAAAGCACATGGTCATGCACAAATCGTCACGCACCCACATTGAACCACGAAGTGCCGTCCGCTTTGACATGTGGGGCTTCAGTGCCCTCTGCCCAGACGCGCTCGCCCATTGATGTCGACGCAATGCAGTAGGCCGCACTTTGTTTTTTATCCAGCGGCCGTGGTAGTACAATCATTTCCAATGCTTTTCGTAAGCGCTGGGGGTTGGTAGCACCTCCCAAGCATGCATCATCATTACAATGCGAAATTTCAAGTGGGGGATCAAAAACTTACCTGTATGGCAAAAACACCGCAGCACTGAAAACCACTGCCATACATGTGCAGCAAGAACACTCCGGAGGCTCATTTAATTATGCGTATGACATGATAATGTTGTCAAAGATAGTTGTCACAAAAACATTAATGCTCTTAAAGGGAAGAGCCTGTTTTGGATGCATATTTTTTCATTTTCCAACAAGTTTTGATTAAACTTTCAGACCTTATGTACCGTATTTACTCGATTCTACCGCGCCCTCGATTGTAACGCGCACCCGATTTCCACGATGAAAAAAAAAAAAAAAAAACCGTAAGACATCGATTGCAACGCGCACCCATTTTTCTCGCTGGCCCGCACGATCACACCACTCAAAAAAACGACTCCTTTCGGGAGCGTCTTCCATTTAAATATGAGGTAAGGCGAAGCTTGTGCCCATCTGACGTGTAACAGAACATTGCCGTCACTGTAGTTTTACCGTAGATCGATGTCAGCACGCGAACTTGCTTCGCCCCTTTCTTCTCGACAGTTGTGGTGCCAGCCATGTCGAAGTAAAGAGGCGTCTGATCGGCATTCCCGATTTGCCCAAGCAGGTAGCCGTTGTTGTGCCGCAAGTTTAGGACGAACCTTTGAAAACTGTGAAGCTTTTCATCGTACTCCTCCGCAAAAATTTTCACATATGCCCGGTCGCCTTCGAAGGGAAAAGCTTTTCCTCTTCATAAAGTTAGTTAGCCAGCCCCTGCTCGCTTTAAACTGGCTCCGCATTAGCCCTTTGTCTATTCTAAGGCTAACTACATAGCCCGCACATGGCGCAGTTCTGTTGTCACGGGCCACCGTGCCGCTCGCTGCTCAAGCACATACTCGCCGAGCAGCTCTTTAATTTGCGGAAACCGACCTTGCTGTGGTCCACTGAAGCCTTTGCGTGAAGCTTTGCTGTCGACAATCTTCTGCTTTTGTTTCCGCCAGTCCCGCGCGCACGTTTCGGGAACTCCGAACGACCGCGATGCAGCCCGATCGCGATGCAGCCCGATCGCGATGCGGCCCTTCCATGCCGTCGATGCTAATGCACACCAAGATAACGAACTCCTCAGCACACGTACAAAGTGCCGCACATGGGAAACACATAGGCAGAAATGGCCAACGCGCCATGCCGACGCACGTAGGGGGCGGCCATTTCGGAATGCCGATGGCAATAGAACGACCGTATTCATTTTTTTTTTCGTACTCGATTCTAACGCGCATGCGATTTATAAACTCGCTTAACCGGAAAAAAGGTGCGCATTAGATTCGAGTAATTACGGTATTTTTATACCCGATTTCAAATATTCACTTGTTTTTCTAGTACAACTTGCAGTGTGTTTTTAGAAAATGCTGTAGGCCCATGTGCTCAAATTTGGTTACACTTTCAAGAACCCCAGGTGGTCAAAATTTCCAGAGTCCTCCACTACGGCGTCTCTCATCATATGGTTGTTTTCAAACGTTAAACCCCCTATCAGTCAACTTGCTGTTTCTGTAATAACAAATATTTTGTTATATTTTTGGGAGCAACATTTATTCATAAATTGTGAGAGTTATGAAGCAAGTGAATAGATCACAATAACCTGCATTGAATGCTATATGCAGTAAAAGAATGGATGTTCTAGGCACATTTGAACAAACAAAAGTGGTATGTTGAACATTCTCGGATTGATCCTAGTTTGACCCAGCTTAACATCGCTCACTCTTTCCAATGTTCAATGTGCCATTACTTTTGTTCAAATAAGTTTGGAACATCTATTGTTTTATTGCATAGAGTATTAATTCCAGGTTATTGCGACATGCTTACTTGCTTTCTCACACACACAGTTTAGAAATAAATCTTGCTCCTCATAATAGTTTCAAAACTACGTATTGAATTTAAACAATATTGCATGGTTGAAATAAGCACGTAAGAATACATAACCTGTGAAAGTTTCATACCAACATGCTCAAAAACAAAAAAAATGTGCTTCTGAAGCAGGCTCTCCCCTTAATTACGACCTCGCATAATATATATACAGTCGAGCCCACATATAATGGCCCCACTTAAAACGAACTTTTGCTTAAAACGAACAATATCCGTGTGACCGTGAAAATATACATTGTTTCAATGACACAAAATCGCACTTACAACGAACATCTCCTAGTGCCGCTGATCGATAGTCTGCGCTCTGCCGACTTCCCAGGAAACCATTTTCAACCACGGATGAGGCATCGGGGAGGTGCCCATAGATTCTTATTGTTAAACGCCGACCATCCTTCGTGCCCCTCTAGTTGCCGCTCTCCCCGACCGCTCTTCGTTACCCACCCTTCCGTCCTTTGTCCCCCCGCTACTCTGAGCACCCCGCAATACCAGATGCGGCTCGTGTTTTCACACTGCCACCCCTCTTTCAAAGACTGGTCGGCCATCTCCCCTGTTTTTGATTCCTGGTACTGTCGTTGACGTCGCCGGCCTGGAGTGACCAGACCATTTGCCAACATCGTCGTATCCAATCGTCTGCGTCTTGTCTTCTCGTATCGTCCTAGTGCATGCTTGTACGCTACCTCACCCACTCTGATAATATGCGATTATTTTCGTGTTTAGAACCTGTTCTCGCTCACTTCGCATTAGGCTCAGCATGCCCTCCGCACGCGTGCAGAAGCATAAAAACAGTTGCTAATTCGTGTGGAACGAATTGCGAAATATCGAAGTTGGTGAGGCAACGCACACCCACCAGCGCAACAAAATGATTCTTTGACCACGACCGTTGATTCTTTGAACACCGATGCGCGTGCCGATCCAGGCGGTCGTGCTTAGACCTCTGCGTGTGTAGGCATTCTTTCAATTTTTTCTACACGCGAGTTGCACCTCCTTCCCGTGTGTTTTGGTTTTCAAGGTCACCTTCCCGGCGTATCCTCCCCTTCCTTTACTCTATCGCAACTCCTTGCCCTTCTCTCGCAAGTCTGCTCTCCTCTATTGATCACAACCCCTTCGCCCGTCTCCACCGCTCCGTGACGCCCGCCACGCTGCCTCGAATTAGTTTCGTTTTCGGACTGGAAACGGGCCCAGAGCTGTTCCACGTGTTCTGGCATGTGTGTTGCGTGTGCGCGTCTTTCTCGCTCTAGGTGTGCGTGTGTGGTCAGGATGGCAAACAGGAGGTCTTGCAGGCTTTTTCCTGCCACTCAACAAAACATTGAAAGTGTGAATGCTTGGTTCGGGCGTAATCCGCATGTTAGGTGCCGCATTTCGGAGCGCTTGCTATTGACCACCTGGCAGCCAACTTGCGGCTTCGGGCGTCTCAGTATTCAGCTGTGAAGATGGTGAATATTTCGTGAGCTGCAGTGACGGCTACATGCGTGCGAAACTGTTTTTGCGAGGCCGACTTTGTCAACGTCGGCCACGGTGCTGAGCCTGAAGCTTCCGAACAGGATCACTCTGGCGGCGATTTGTGGCAGTGCGCCGTCGACTTCGACCTGGCAGAGAGGGTGGGACATTTGCTGCGATGGTTTAATTACGGCCGATGATGATGCCGACACTGTGGAGCCGTGCACGGATTAGGGCATTTTGAATGAAGTACGCGGTAAGAGCGATTTGGAGGAATCGGATTGCGTGAACAACGAAACTTTGGATCCAGTGCCTCATGAAGCTTATGCCATGGGCCTCAGCGAAGAGCACGCTGTTGTTTGAAATAAACTCAAGACCGTCCTTATCGCTTCTGCTCTTCGAAACACGCGCATCACGGACCTTTTTGGGCAGGAAATTTTCTGTTTTCACTTGCAACTTTTTTAAAATGTTGTGTTTCATTTACTACGAACTTCAAGATACAGAGAACGGATGCCGTATCAAGCTCAGGTTTGTTATAAGCAGGCTCGACTGTATATATATGACATAGGTTCTCCTAGTATATTTGAGAACTTATTCTGCACATGCTGATGTACAATATAAATCATGTTTCCTAATCGGCTCTGGTTTAGAGTTCATGTTTTGAGTCTGTGAGCAGGTGGCGACTATGGCTTCTGGAGTGTCTGCTGCCAGCCACCGTCCAGCTAGGATCTGCCACAGTGCTTGTGGGTGAGCTGCTTACGGCCTTGTGCTTGAAACGGCCAGCAACGGCTTTGTCACACTGGAATGCACCTCAAGGTTAGTTGCAACAATACACGTCTGCCGTTTCTGAATACCTGACTCAACTACTTTACGTTCAATATACTGTCGACCGCAAAAGTTTGCGGGATCTGTAGCGTGTGGCGGAGCAACGAAAAATTGCATCGCTGCGTCACCTACCGTGACGTGGCAGGTGTTAAGGCTATCGGCCTCAGCAATCAGTGATGGCACGTTTAGACGTGTCGTTGCTGGCTCTTACAGAGGAGGCCACAGCCGATATCCTCAACACCTGCCATGTCGAGATAGGTGACACAGCAATGCAGTTTTTTGTTGCTAAACAACGTGCTGCAGATCCCGCAAACTTCAGCTGCCGACAGCACCTCTGTTTATTTGATACTAAAAAAATCGGTGTATTAATTTGGCGGACTTGACTAGATTTAAAGCTGCAGCGCGCTTTTTGCGGAGTTCCTTGGCATTTACAATCTGGCTGAGGCCGATTCCTACAAGTCGCTTTTGTCGTGCACTTCATTCACAATGCCCTCATCAGTGTCTGCAGTTTCGGCATCATCATCAGTCGTAATGAAATCAACCCAGGTGTCCCGCCCTCCTGTGTCGGAGCCAGCGATGCACTGCCACAAATCGCCATGGGAGTACTCCTGTTCGTAAGCTTCAGTGCTCAGCGTTAGGTCTGATGTCAATGAAGTCGGCTTTGCGAAAACAGTTTCACACACATGTAGCCATTACCTCTGCTGACAAAGCCTTCACCATCTCCACAGCTGAATGCAGGGGCACCCAAAGCAGCAAGTTGGCTACCGGGCGGTCAACAGCTGTTAGCAAGCGCTACACAATATGGCGCCTATAGTAAGCCATGTGGTTGCACTTTCAACGTTGTGTTAAGCAGCAGCAAAAGGCCTCTCGTCCCCCTTCCTGACTTCGCACGCACACCTACATGCACATGTGACAAACAAGCCAGGGCATGTGGAACTGTTCTGAGCCCATTTCTAGCCAGAAAAAGAAACCTGCTTCGAGCCAGTGGGGCTGCCATCACAAAGCAGTGGAGATAAGCAAAGGAGTTGCAATACAGTGAAGAGAGGGAAGTATATGGTGGGAAGGCAACCTTGAAAACGAAAACACGCACAGGGATCCTACTCCTGCGCGAACTGCACCAAAGTGCGCCAAACGAGATTTGCTGCTCTAACCTGATAAAATTGACGTAAATTGCGTCAAACTGCGCCAAACAGTCTATCTTGGGGGTTCCCAACCTGTGGCCCGCCGGCCGCATGCAGGTCGCAGGGCAGTTTTATGTGGCTCCCGGAACGACGTCAGAAATCCAGAAATCTTGAAATCGCTAGATACTGTAATTGTGGCAGTATTTAAATAACATTAAATAATGTTTCAATTATCGGAGACAATGGTCGAGTCTAATGAGTGAATTCTTTAACTTCCTGCGAACAGGTTGTTGCTGCTTTGAAAAATCGGCCGCCAGTACTTCTGCGGAGCAATGAAATTCAACCTCATTCTGCGGCGGGACCACAACCAAAGCTCCGATGAGCGCAACTATAGCAGAAGGCTAGAAATTGTCACTGTTCACGACGGTGATTGCAGAGGTGTTAGTTTTGCATTGGTTTACTCACGTACGCAAACGCCATATATATGTACTCTAATCGCATTGAAACCTGTTTACAAACATAACCCGGTTGCAGCAAATGCCATATTTACTCACGTAATGAACACACTATTTTTCTCGAAAAAATCGGAGCTAAGTTGGGGATTGGATTATTACGCAGGACAGATTTTATGAAAACTTTTTCGGGATGAGCAAAAAATGCTGTAATGGAAAAAAAAAAGTCAAGTCGTTTAGTTTTTCGCATACACGTAGCCTGCTTGGAAACAGGCTCTTTGTTGCACTTTACTCATCTTCGGTGGTTGTGGGGCTATCTTCTGCAAGCTGTTCCCACGCTGCTCGCGCACGCCATAAGAGCGTTTTGTGGCTATCTTTTTTTGCAATTGTTTAACCGCAACAATGGTATCTGCTGTGATCTCAGGGGCACCCAGAAACGTGCGCTATGATGCACTTTGCCAACTTCGCGGCAACCTTGCCTGATGATGCCGTTGTCATTGTAGCAAGTAACCAAAATTGTAGCAAGCTACCCCTGAAACATCAAAACAAACTGTAGATAACAAGATTAACAACAAAATACGGCTGCCACCTCACTTCCACATGAGAAGTTTCAATACGTGCGGTGAACAAGCGAAACGAGAATCGGGGGTGCAACCATGTTGTGGAAATCGTCACGGTCTTTTCTGGATGACAAGAATTTTTTCTGTTTTTCCAGAAACGTGAGACGCGATAGCGATGAAAGATCCTTCGCGACAGCAAATCCTGTCGTCGTCGCTCGAAAATAAAGGGTACGTTGTTGGGCCTTAAAGTTTTGTATTTGTAGAAAGTGATCGTCGGTTGGTGCGGGCAGATTCGTGACCTTTGCTCGTTCTTGCTCGCTGTGTGCTTATCAGCTGGGATGTCTCTACACTCGCATTCGTGAACCTCGCTGTAGCGCACAGATGAAGAAGACGAGGGATGTGCCACGCACAGATAGAAAGAAAAAATATACGGCTCGCGGCAACGGGCAAAGGGAAGGGGGGGGGGGGGGGAGCGGGCTGAGGTGGCCGAGAAGGGTCGGCATAGTAATAAAAAAACGAAAGAGATTCAGAGGGGGAGAAGGCGCCAGGTGTCGGTTAGCAGGACTGCAGTGGACGAATGTAGGGAGAGTGTTTACTATGCGGGAAAAAAAATCTAAAGTTGGGGGTGTGTTTATTATGCGAGTGCGCTCATTACCTGAGTAAAAATGGTATTACACGTTGGAACAAAACCAACATGCAACAAGCACGACATATTGTTTATTTTGTAGAATAAAAGGTTGAGAGACCACAAAAAGCCTCAAATACCAGTTTGCTAACCAGATTTTCGTGTTTCAAGGACATCGCGCTGCCGTTGAAGTTAAAAATCCCATACAACCACGATATCCAGGGCATCCAATCAAGTGCACACCCATATGCACTTGATATCATGTTAGGAGCACCACTGTGAAGCAGTGGTAAAGCCCACATTCATTTCTCGTGCTGCTTTGTGTTAAGTTGAACCTCGTTATATTGAAGCTGGATATAATGAACTAGTGGATATAATGAAGCAATTGTAATTCCTCTTGAAATTCTCATAGATGCCCATGTATTTAAAACCTCATTTTAACGAAGTGATAATTTCCTCACAATGGATAACGAACCATCCTTTGTCCACAACAGGCATTTACTGATCATTTTGGTATACAATTCAATATCTTATAGCGCGCGACGATTTACGTATCATCACGGCTGCGGTTATTCAAAACTCGCGCCTTGCGCTCGCCGTTAGCCGCCTGCCAACACGCGCGTGGGTGTGTCTCGCTGCCTCTCCTTTCCTCAGAAACTAATGAACTTGCCCGCGCAAAAACTCGTGTGAGCATGCGCGTCAGCAGTCCTTCCCTCTTCTGTAGAACTCATTGACCCACCTGCGCATCTGACCTCCTCCTCCCCTTCAGCTCCGCAGTGGGGCGGCGGAGATTGTGGCTTTGTTCTTTGTCATTAACTGTGGAAGAGCAACATTACTGCTATTAGTTTCGCCGCCCGACACGAGACGGACAACAGCAGCGGCAAAGGTAAGCGCGAAAATATAACAATAGAGCAGAAGTTGGCAATGTTGAAAGCCGCTGAGTCCAGCATCGAGAAAAAAAGTAGTCGAAGATTTCGGCGATGTTGCCAGTGAGGGTGTTGTGGGCGACCAGGCCCAGACGTTGTGGGACGCTCTACTTGACACCTACATTGTGCTTAACAGCGGCACTTTCTACTTTCTTCAAGTACGTCGGTGCTGATACTTAAGCGGTGACAATGAAAGAGTTGTCAGATGCGGGAATCGTGTGCACGGTGACGGGAGTGCATGACGATAGTGACGAATGTGTGGAGCCTAATGTTAACGAACCCGGCGTACCAATGCCCGTGCAAGCACTGGATGCGACAGACTTGCTGCCCTGCTTCTTTGGTGCTTACGAGGACGACGAGAACGGACTCAAAATAGCTGCTGAAGCTTAAAAGGCAGTCATCCGCATGAAGAAGTCAGTAAAAGTTTATTATAGACTATTTTTTTTAAATGATCTTGCAGCTGGTGTGCCGAATTCGGTGGAAGTAAAGATGCATTGTTCTTTATTATTTTGCGAGTTTTTCGCTTCCTGACAGCCGTTTTTCACTGCCTGGTGGGCTGCTGCGATATTCGGTAGTGAGTACATTTTCTCTTGCTGGCTAATTGTTGGTAGAAATAGATATGGGCTATAATGAACTAATGGTTATAACAAACTAATTATGACTCCCTCTTCAACTTCGTTATAACGAGGTATGCCAAAGTGCACCTAAGAGTGAGATTACCTGCTCCAAAACTAAGTTTTGACAGCCGTAAAATGCTTCTATTAGCTAGGTTACCTGCTCCAAAATGCTCAGAACTAAAATTTTACAGCTCCAAGGTGCTCCTAATCGCAAGATTACTTGCTCCAAAATGCCCCAAAACCAAAATTTTACTGCTTCAAAGTGCTCCAAAACTAATATTTTACTGCTCCAGAGTGCTCCAAAACTTAAGTTTGACTGCTGCAAAAATTGCTCCAAATTGGCAGTCCACAGTGGGATCACTGCACGCAGGAAAAAGGCAGGTTGGGTAGCTCGCTTGAAAGGTCTGTGAAACGTGCAACTCGCACTCATAAAAACTTGGGAGAGTGGCCTGCATGCGCAGAGGTAAAAGAATTGCATTGTGGCACCAACTGGTTTGCATGGCCCCACCAACTTTCATAACTCACGATTCGTTTCGTGTAACAGCTGTTTTTACACTTGCACACGCATGCACAGGGCGTGCTGAGCAGAGTGCAAAGTGAGCGAGAACAGGTCCTACACACGGAACAAATCACAAATTATCAAAGTTGACGGGGCCGCGCAATCGCATGCACTGGAACGATATGACATCGATCTTAACAAAACACAGGCGCAGATGATAGGGTACAGTCGGCGGCCGTCCATGTTGGTGGATGGTCTGGTCACTCTAGGCTGGTGACACCAGCAATGGTGTAACTAGAGCAATAATTTAGAACGGAGGAGAGACTATTCAGTTGACTGGTCTTCGAAACATCGGAGGCAGTGTGAAAACATGGAACCCCGTATGGTGATGCGAGGGGCTCAGAGTAGCGAGAAGACTAAGGACAGAGGGTTTGTAACAAAAAATGGTCGGGGAGAGCGACTAGAGGGCTGTGAAGGCAGGGTCGGCGTTTAACAATAATAATCTATGGGTTCTGCGCTGGTGGCTTATCGGTGGTCGAGAGTGGTTTCCCAGGAATTCCCCAGAGCGGAATTCTTCATTTGCTGTAATCGATTCGCGAAGCTCAGATACGTTCATTGTTAGTGCGTTTGTTGTGTGATTTAGTAACTATTAAAAAAGTATGATTTGAATTCGCTACGCCTCTTAATTTTGCTCTTTGCACAGCTCTGCAAGAAAGCTGCTTTTTTGACTGGGCTGGGTTGTTGCAAGGTTTGCTGAAAAGTGGTGTTCTCAAATTGAGTATTAAAAAAATGAGGTGATGCGAGAGGCTGAATTGTACTTATCTGCATCATTTGGTAGAATCAACAGGGGGATAACACTTTCCATGTCCTCTTTTATTCTTCATTGAGGCAGTATGTGTGCTTCACTTGCCCTGCGCATGCTAGCAGATGCCAGGGAGACACTGAGTAGACGATGCAATGCGAATGTATACATATGGAGGGGCTTATCACCCTTCTTATAGTCTAAAGGGCCCTTTAGTCTCGACAGTGCTGAAGAAAACTTCTGAGATAGATTATAGTGACACTTAATTTTTCTTGAAAAATGTGCGTTCATTAACCCCGCCGCGGTGGTCTAGTGGCTAAGGTGCTCGGCTGCTGACCCGCAGGTCGCGGGTTCGAACCCCGGCTGCGGCGGCTGCATTTCCGATGGAGGCGGGAATGTTGTAGGCCCGTGTGCTCAGATTTGGGTGCACGTTAAAGAACCCTAGGTGGTCATCCGGAGACGTCCACTACGGCGTCTCTCATAATCATATGGTGGTTTTGAGACGTTAAACCCCACACATACCAATCAATCATCATGTGCGTTCATAACGTGAGTAGGTACGGTATGCTCATTACTCTAGGCAATATTTCTTAAGTAGTATGATGTTATTGTTATAAAAAGCCGTTCAAACAAATTAAAGGTGGGAACGCAGCTGATAAAACTATTGCAGATCTTGTGCTCTGGCATGCTCTTAGTGGCTGTCACGGTAAACGGCCCAACATGCACATTTTTCTCGAAAAATCAGAGCATCATTGGGGGTGCGTTTATTATGGGGGGAAAATTTTATGAAAGCTTTTTCAGTGTGGGCAAAAAAATGCGGTAATGCAAAAAAAAAAAGTTGGGTCGCTCAGCTTCTTTGTCGCACTTGGCTCTACTTTGGTGGTTCAAGGCGCTATCTTCTGCAAGCTGTTTCCGCGCCGCCTGTGCATGCCATAAAAGCGTTTCGCAGCTATCTTTTCTCGCAATCATTTAACTGCAACAGTGATATCTGCTGTGATATCGAGGGGCATCGTGAAGCGGGCTCTACGACACCACGACGCACTTCGCCAACTTCGTGGCAACCTCGCATGATGACCACGCCGCCGCCGTTGTCATTGCAGTAAGCAACCAACATTGCAGCAAGCTACCATTGAATCATCAAAACAAACCGTCGATAACAAGATTAACGACAGATTACGGCGGTTACCTCTCTTGCAATCGAAGCGAGAATTGGGGACCATGTTGTGGAAATAGTCACGATCTTTTCTTGGCGACAAGGGTTTTTTTCTGGTTTTCCAGAAACCTGCGAAGAGATGGCAACGAATGGCCCTTCCTGACAGCCATAGCAACAGCAAATCCTGTCGTCTTCACTCGAAAATTGCGTGCATGTGGTTGGGCATTGAAGTTTCATATTTGCAGGGAGTGACTGCCGGTTCGCACGGGAAGTTTCGTGACCTTCGCTCGCTGTGTGCTTGCCAGCTCTGATGTCTCTACACTCGCACCGTTCGTGAAGTTTTTTGTGGTGCATAGATGTTTTAAAAGATACAGTGTATGGGCTGTGCACAGATAGACAGACTATACGGCTTGTTTCAGCGGGCGAAGGGGGGGAAGCGAGCCGAAGGGGGGTCGGCATAATAAGAACGGAAGGGATCGAACGAGCAAGGAGGCGCCAGTTGTCGGTTATCGGGACTGCAGCGGAAGATTGTAGGGGGTGCATTTATTATGCGAGTGCGTTCATTACGTGAGTAAATACAGTATATGTTGTGCTACTGAATTACCCATCCAAAACATACTTTTCTTTTTTGTGCAGCAGTGCTCTGCCAAAGTGATGCTCAGTGCACCTATGTTTGCCTCTGTGATGGGTATAACTGGGCAGAATGTACAGCTCTTGTATGGAGAGTGCTCATGCATGTATCTTTGTGCGTCAGCTGGCAGGGTTCTCTTTATGTGCCGCAGTGTGGCACGACCCGTACCCATGGAGGGCAGGGCTGGACGCTGACCTTGAGCGTCGGATCACTGCTGTTTCACGGACAGACTGTGTAGTCACGAATGCGGGCAGTGAATACAAGACAGCAACTGTTGTTGAGACTGCCTGGGAGGCCACACTTGACGCACTTGTTAAGCAGGGCCTGGCGTTCCTTGACTCAACAGAGGTAGGCTGTTGTTTCACCCTTTGGCGATACAAATATTTCAAACAAAAGACTGCACACATAAAGGCCTCTTATGTAAAATGCCTGCAATGAGATATTGGCATAATGTGAAGTGTGCTTCCAGGGATGTCTTGTGAAAGAGAAGGCAATGAATAAATGCCGCTTGCATGCATAAGACAGTGTTTGCCGTGAAGCTTACTTTCTGAGCTCGCGAGAACAATTCAGTAATAGTGAACCTATTGAAGCATTCCTCTCGGCAAGACTTTAACTATAGCTCCAAGGAAAAATCAGGCCTTAAGGTGGTTACATGCACATTCGTCCTTGCCTAAATTGGTCCAGTGGTGTCTTTCTGTCGAGACTGTTGTATCTGTGTTAGTCTATTATGTAAAACAATTGTAAAGGGGTGATGGAAAGAAATGCAAACAGTGCAGCGCACTGTTTTCATCACGCTCTGACCTTGTTGGCAGTAACGATAAACACATGCAAGATGGTTCTCAATTTTGTCAAAGATGGATCTAGTGGCTTTTTAGCACTAACCAGGCAGCACCAGTTTGAAAATAAATGTGAAACAGCTGAAAATGTAAATTCTGCATGTTAGCATTTCTTTTCGCCCTGACTGTACATGCATGTTGGAATGTTAGCACAATTCATGCACGTACATTTGTGTGCCTGGATATAAAAAATGCCTTGTATGCTTAGTCCAGTTAACTTGACTGCACTAATTGTTGTTCAAGCTGCAATAATGCGCCTTTATTGCTTGGATGGCACCTTTCTATGTAGAGATTAACTCGCTTGTGACAGTTTAATTTGCATGTTTAGCTGAAAAGAAACAAATGAGACGCCAGCATCTTTTTTGTACATTGATCGTCTTGCAAGACAGCTTTCCTGATGGCTGTAGCCAAGTTGCAGGTAGTTAAAATTTCAAGCACTAAGGCTTGCTTCGAGAGTGGTCTGAAATACAGCAGTAAAGAAAGTCACAGGGCCCTTATGCATTTGCCTAAGAACAGGCAAAGACAAAAGAGGCTTTTTGAGGTGGCTGCTTTACTATGCTCTTTATGCCCATGTCGAAAGTTCAGTAATTAACCGTCACTGATGTAACTTTTTGCTAATTAAATCACTACTCAGTAAGTTAGCATTGATTAGCATCGTAAATACGGTATTTACTCACATATAGGTGCACCCCCAGTGTGGATGTGAGATATCGAATTTTTATATTTCCACACATAATAGGCACACCCCGAACTTGGTCGTGATCAGAACTTCTGTACTGTATTTAAATGGTTGCACTTTTACGCCCTCTTACAATAGCTGTAGTGAGGATAGATGAAAGAAAAAAAAAAGACCGTGGCAGAGTTGCGCGGGCTCTCCAAGCGAAGAAGGGCAGTTGCCTGTGGGTCGGAGTAACATTTGCACTGACGCTGGCATGGTTCCGTTCGCGCACATTCCGCATGGAACGTGCTACCGCCTCCCTGTCAAGTGAGCTTTGAGTTTCCTGTCAAGAAGAGTGTCCTCGTTATCTTGTTTGCTCCCTCGTCCGCAAATTTAAGGGGGCCCTGAAACACTTATTTAAGTAACCATGAAATGGATTCACTGAAAGATCTTATTGCCTCACGAATTCAACGCCCCCAAAATTTTAAGAATCTGTCCAGTACGAGCGGAGCTACAAAGAAAGAATTGTCGCACATTGCGATCGCGTTCTCTCTTCTCTCATTCAGGTGAAAGCGCTGGAGGCTAAGCAGAAAGGAATGGCAAGGTTAAAGAAAATACGTCACGCATGCCTCGTGACCATGAGCACTTTTTTTTTTTTCTTCAAATACGTGGCTTTTATCGTATGATCGCGCATGCATGCGTGGACAAGTCGCGGCCTCCCACGGAAATCCTTGTAACAACCGAGCGCTCTATGTTCAAATCGGCCAATGGCTGATAGATGGCCTTCTACGCGTGATTTTTTAGCGTCTTCCGTCATTTCTCAAGAGAAGAAAAACAATTTTTAGCTGACTGATAATTTATTAGAAGTTTCGGGCTGCATGTTGCGTTATAATATTTAGCTCGCGTGTTCTCAGGAGCCTCTACTATCGATCAACCGCGTTTTCTGACCATGCTCTAAAAGTGTTGCAGGGCACCTTTAAAAGCTTTCCGACGCAAACATTCGTCTTTGCTGCTACTAGTCAGACTCGCATAAGCTCGACGGACATTTTTTGTCATTGATTTTCCGTCCGCAAACCTAAACATCGTATCACACGTGCTGCTCTTGGATCAGTGCTTGAGTGCGATCTTTTTGGCGCCTAATCTTCATGCTGTCTTGTACAAACTTCTTGCGACATGAGGAACCATAGGCTAGGCCTAATCAGCGTTGTTTTTTTTTTTTTTTTTTTTGTGGCGGTCGTGGGCGATCAAAGTTGCAGTTTTGTATGAAATCAACGTAACTCTTTGGAATGGCTCTATGAGAAAGAAAGGGGGCGTGGGTGGTGCTTGTAACTCTGGAATGGTGGTTTGTGATTCGATAGCAATGTCTATGGATATCTGGTGCGAGCCCATGAAATCGAATGATTGTTCAGCCGTAATAATGCACATAATCTAGGTGGCTTAAAACACAATAGGTGAACTTCCGCAATAGCACTTTAATATTTTTCTCGCATTCATTTTCTTGTAACTTGGTGGCTCTCTTGAAGTCAATTTTGGGAAATTCGGACTCTTGTAAGCACACCGCACCGGATGCCTCGATTCTCAGACACACAAGACTGCATACTTATCACATTTTGCACTAGTGTAGCCTATGAAGAACGTTGTTTGGGTTCATGACTTCGGCGATTTGCGTTATGAGTGGTCTATGCCGTCATCGAAAATAAAATTTTTGGAAATTGTACCCTGTATAATAGACACACCCCTAATTTACGCCAGATTTTCTGGAAAAAAAGTGTGCCTATCATGCGAGTAAATACGGTACACTGTCTCTTTATTTGCTTTTCTGTGCTTTGGCTCCCCCATACATCTCGTGAAAATTGTTGCTTTTATGCTCTCCGAGCAGCCGGAGCATCTCCGCAAAGCTTTTCATGACGTCTGCTGTATCTGGGAACAACCTGCGATACAGTAGTGGTGCAGGCTCTTCTCACAATCTGTATCTGGGAACATATTGTTTTCTTGTTTATAGCCTTGGCTTCTTGCTTGTGCAAACTTGAAGTGAGAGTCACGTGAACACCATTTTTTAAATTTTTATTTGTAAAAATCGTATGAATGACATTTTTTTTTCATTTCTACATTTTTTAAAATCGCACTAAGGCCACTTCAATGAAAACTTATTCCATAAAGTGACCATGCAACTGGTGTGCGGTTTCTTTATTGTGATTCATGTGCTGCTTTGTAGAAGGCGTTTGCTTTTTGTCACGTGATCATTCTGATGACACATATAAGACTTTCACCTTAACATGCTGGTAATCTGCTGTGTGAATTCTGTGGTAGAATAATTGTACTACAAGCAAGAGGCTCACTTGAAAATCTAGTGTTATCAAGTTCATAATAGGACTAGTGCTTAAGTGCCTTTGAGTGTCCTGATGCCCACCTTGGCCTCAGCTGTCAGGGCTGGTCCTCTTAGTGGGAGAAATGTTGCTTAGTTTGTCATTCCACCAGTAGACTACAATGCCAGGGTTCGTGAGTAAAGTTAAAACTGGGCAAGTTGGTGGTATTTCGTGTTTACGTGTAAAGCAGCGCACGAGGACAAGGCCCAAAATGAACGCAGCGGCTGTCCTGTCGTTTTGTTTCTTCTGTGCCTTGTCTCTGTGCACTGCTTCACACATAAACATGGTGTCCGTAGTCAAACTACCTTAGCACTCTGATTCTTGTGCAGACATTGCCAGCGTGCCTCTGCTCTGGAGTTACGGGTGCCATTTTACTGACACGCTTGTGGCGAATGCAAGTGAAGCAAGACCTGTTTGAGAGCCCTCTCATCGAGAAGCTGCAGGTAAACTCGGCAATAGAAAGTGCTGTAGTACTATAAATAAGGTGATATACGAGAGAGCACAGTTGTCCAGCTTACATATGTGTATACATCTCTCTGTAAGCAAATGTTGTGTTAAATAAAACAAAATTTTTCCAGTCTTATTGCCTTATGTTTACCGAGATTCAGCTGTAGTGAAATTTTTATAAAGTGAAGCAAAGGGCCAGTTTTACCAACGTCATTATGTTGAGGTTAACTGTTGTGATTGTTAACTGTTGTGATTAACTGTTGAGATCGAATCCCGGCTGCGGCGGCTGCATTTTCGATGGAGGCAAAAATGTTGTAGGCCCGTGTGCTCAGATTCGGGTGCACGTTAAGGAACCCCAGGGGGTCGAAATTTCCGGAGCCCTCCACTACGGCGTCTCTCATAATCATATGGTGATTTAGGGACATTAAACACCACATATCAATCTAACTGTTGTGAAATTGAAGTTTGACGTTTATCCATTTGTAGCGCAGAGCTGTGAGACGATCCATAAAGATCTTTGGGTAATGGAAAATTCTTATTTAGAAAGTTTATCCCACTATCTGCGGAGCTATTATGCAGTTCAACTGTATTTTGTGTTTCTTTTTGCATTTAGGATGTGCCTAATGCCTTCTTTGTAGGCAAGCACCTTTGAAAATGCGACTCTCATAATCATATGCCGCTTTTGGGACGTTAAACATCACATATCAGCACCTTTGAAAACACCAATCCAATGAGGAGGAGATTTGATCAAAGGGCTCATTTATTTGTTAGAGACAACCTAATGTGACTGTATTTATGGGAAGCTGTATTCAATGAAACTAACATACAATAAAGCCAAAGAAGGCATAGGAGACACTATTTGTTGTTTCTTTAAAATGTAGTGTATATATGTCGTAAACAGAAAGTAACTGCAGTAGACTGTAGTTAAACAAAACCTGAAGGGACCAAGAAAATATGTTCCATTTAACAGTTTTGTTTACTGAGAGATAACCAGGGGTCCAGAATTCAAGTACTAAACCAATCATATAAAAGACAGTTGATCCATTTAAGCAGCAATTCCATTTAACAGATCTCTGTTTACCGAGAGTTTACTGTATAGTCAACAAGAAAAAGAAGTTTTTGTTGGACTATTTGGTGTACGTTCATAATTGAATTTAAGGTGCGAAAATAGACAAAAACACAAGAGAGGTCATGGTACAGAGCAGCACTAACAACTGATTTATTTGCACATATACACGCACATATATATCTTCGTCAGTAGGTGTGCGGACATTGGACAAATTGGTAAGTGTTTAAATAATCGGAACAGGGAGCATGAGCACAATGGTGAGCAAGATACAGAGAGCCCAAGTTCGCCTAAGCATATTTGGGACTGCCTTTCATGCTCTTGCGGACCACGCTTATCTGATGAGGGGATGATCACCAGAAGTAGAGAGAGAACAGCCAGAGAAGTGATGGAAGAGTTTTATATAGGCAAAAAGGTTACATGTGCGTTTGTGACACATCTGTAGTAGTATTGTATAAATGCCCGAAAAAGTTCATTGAGCTTGCACTGATAAAGTTATATTTGTAGGCATATTTGGGAAAACGGTTGTTAGTGGCGCTCTGTCCAGTATCCTCTCTTGTGTTTGTGTCTATTCTTGTGTCTCAAGTTCAATTATGAATCGACAAGAAAAATGGGGGTGTGTACTATGGGAAAAGCGAAACGTCTAGGGAAGGGTGTTTCAGCTCTGATAATGTGAAATCTGGGGGGGGGTAAGCATGCAGTGTTTTGAGAGCTGCCAAGCCTAAAATTGGGCATGGCAAGAAGGGTGCTTGTGCTCCAGTCAAAAAACTGTGCCAGAATTCAGGCGAGCTCAAGGTGGTTCTCCTTCTTCCCTGCATGTTTGGTTTCAGTTCCCTATGGCGTGCAGCAAAAGGAGCATCAGCTTCACGAACGTTGTCGGCTATCTGTTGGGATAACTGTTGCCTGTTTCGTTTTTAGTGAACCGGTGGTGAGCAGTGCGACTTACCTGACTTTTGTGGCACATACCCTTTCATGATGGACCGTGACTACATGACACACCATGGCGATATACCGCATTTACTCGCACAATTTGCACACTTTTTTCATGATTTTGGGGCCCCGAGAAGGGGGTGCGCAAATTATGCAAGCATTTTGCACGAGCATACGAATATTGTGGCACAGTCCTAATGCATGCTTGTATATACATTAAAAAAAGAATAAATTTGAGCAAAAACAGCGTACTTGTTAATTTAATAGATTTAGCATGTACTTTAACCAGTCAGATACAGTCAGGCGCGGTCTAGTGAGAATCGCTGATCGCTAAGTCCGAATGGGAATCATCGTCGCAGCCGCTGCCACCACCCTCCCAAAGTGCATCGTGCTCAGTTCAGGTAGAGCGCATTGAAAGCCCCTTTTTATGAAGCTTTTCTCGACAATGCTAGGAAAAACTAGGTCCTGCGTCACGGCGATACCGGAAGATCTTAGCATCCTTACATAAATTGAAAAGACCTTCGATATGGCAGGCAACTTGCTTTAGCAAGTGTACACTCTTCTGCCTTCTCGCTCTCTGATCGCGCAGATCGTTACACGTTTAAGTACTTCACCTTGAACTGCTTGGCGGTGGCACAATTCCTGTTTTCTTCGACAAAATTTACAACAGCGAGCTTTAATTTCGTCGTAATTACTGTAGTTGGTTGAAGGTAGAAAACCTAGAGTCACTGCGCCGACGAAAGTGAAAGTTTAAAAACACTTGGGAAAAAAGGACGTTTCGGCTCCCACACGGGAGCTTTGTTCACAAGTGAAATGAAAACATCTGTAAAGCAGTCAGCCTGTGGCTATACGAATTCATTCTTGAACGCTGGCGATCAACAAATTGCACGTCCACAATTGCCCTGTGCTGCATCTGGTCAAAAGCAAGCGGGAATACCATATATTCCCTCCATAAGCGAAGCCCTTGGCTATATTCTGCATTTCCACAACGTCCATGTGGAATATGTTCCGGACCAAGAACTACAACAGTCACTCGTAAATGTGAAGGACAGATTAGCCAAAGTGAAGTTCCCTGGTGTGGTGTATGCTGTTCCGTGCGCGGATTGCGACGATGTGTATATCGGTGAAAGGGGCAACTTTGAACGATGCCTCTAGCAGCACATTTATGGCATGAAGAAAGTGAATGTCAAATCTAGTGCCTTGGCTGAGCATGTGTCAGGTGGTCACACAGTTGACTGGTAGAAGGCATGTGTTCTCGCAAAAGAAAAAGGACTGTCACGGCATCTTTATCTTGAGTTCCTCGTGATACAAACCACTTCACGCACTTTAAACTGGAATGATGGTAATCTGCCGTCAGTATATATGCGCGCTGCCTGCGTGATATATTCATATGTACATAAGGCGAACTGCTTTACACATGTTTTCATTTCACTTATGTACAAGGCTCCTGTGTGGGAGCCAAAACGTTTTTTTTTCTGTGTGTTTTTAAACATTTACTTTGGTCGACGCAGTGTCTCCAGGTCTTCTACTTTCAACCATGTATCATCCCGACCAGGCGGGCTTCCGTCAAACTTTAAACTTCATTACTGTAGCTCATCGCAAGGGAACTGTAAAAATGCGTCGGCCAGATAAAGTGAAACATAAACTTTCGAAATCGACCAATGCAATGCATGCATTGCAGTGTGAGCGCAGAGAATAGTGTGAACAGTTTGGCACGACAGGCTCTTGCATGCCTCCGGTGCAGAAAATTGACCGTGCTATGATGCGAGCATACATTCACGTGGTGACAGAGATGGGGATATTGGGGGAAGCAAACACTCGAGCAGTTCCGGCGACCCATCAACAGGTATGAGTGTTCAGGTACAGTATTCTAGGGACCCTAGTTCAGAGGAAGTCCTTGGAAGAAGTTATCACTCGCAGCCCATTGGACTGCGCTTCTCTGCTCTGCGAGGCGCACACCCATCCCAAGCACCGAAAGGTTCAAAGCTTTTCGTGCATGCGCCCGTGAGTGGGCTCAGGCGGAATCAAGGAGTGCAAAAAATGCAAGTAAATATTTTTTTAGCTAAGCTGGCAAAATATTAGGGGTGTGAAAATTATGCGAGTAAATACGATAAACTGACAAGCAGAGACCCTAAGATGCTTCGCACCTAAAAACAGCTTGGTTTTGGTTGGGACCTGACCCACAACCTTCAAGTTGCACATCAGATGCTGTACCAAGTGATGTACAAAGACATTCTCGGAAAAAATTCACCCACAGTCACACTCAAGGGGGTGGGAAGTGCTATTCATGTACAGTTAAACCTGCTTATAACGAACCTTTATATAACGAATTTCTCAATATAACGAAGTTTTTTTTATTCCCCGTCGTTGCTCCATTGAAACTTATGCATTTGCAACCTCTATGTAACAAAGTAACAGCAGGAGACAACTTCAATATAACGAGTTCTCTCCACGGACAATCTAGGAATTTTGCCCCGCATTTCGGTATGAGTATGCATTTTCCGCGGCTGCCCCGTTGCCGACGAAGCGCCAAGCAGCAGTAGTGGCGTGCACGGCGCACCGGGCGAAAGCGAGCGCTCATATTCCGTGCGGGTGAGCACCGAGGCAGGCATTGCCAACGTTCTTGCTGCTGTGGGCACATGCGTGGGTGTTCCCCCTCCATTCCAATCCAAAATAAAAAAAAAAAGACTACTTTTGTACATTGGCAGTGCCACGCTTTTAGTTTGCATCACATGGGGTATGTGAGGCCGTGCTGCATATGGAGGGGGCTTTACTGAATCGTGTTCCGCGGTATCCGTGTCTGTGTCGTTCGCTCTTCATTTTCAGCGACATTCCCCGGCGACATTCAGTTTTGCGTTTTTTATTTACGATAGTTTTTCTTGGGATATTTCAACGCAAAAATTTTTGTCTTGTTTCTTTCTGTACATTTGTTTCTTTGTCCGTTGAAACGATATCTGAAACGGCCAAAATTCAACCCCATCCGCAGTGCCCACCAATATTGCTCAAGTTTGAGTGTTCATAAATGTGTGATTGTCAATTAAAAAGCAATTATTCCGCATATCTGAGGCACAATAACAACATGTCAATATTCTGTGTGTGTCTCTTTATATTAGAGAAGGCATAGATAAGTAATTCTAAGGACCCTAGCATTTATCGCGCTGCGCTGACAATGCAACGCTATGCACAAAAAGGCAAGTGTTTCCAACGTTTGGCTAGGACGGCACGGTGTTGGCACCTACCCGCCGCTTTGCGTTTTATACCTTATCGCCTACGAGACAGTCTCGCACGCCATCCTTCGTTTTCGAAGATGAATGCCAGATAGCGCTCGTGTCTAACGTGCCTCGATGCGCTCGTTCACCTTCGCTGCACTGATCAAGACTCTCTAACGCAGCGCCTCCAGAATACAATTAACCGATTTTCTTGCGCAAAACATCAAATAAACACTTTGTTCACTCTCTCAAGGCGCACGACTATCATCTTTCGACAACATTTGCAGTGAAACATTCCGACACGGGGCTAATTTTTTTTTATTGCGACCAGTTATATGGACAGTCTTGGCTGGTTTTTTGCTGTCGCCATGCCGCCGTCATTCCCCGTATATGCAACTCAAGAAAAAAAGAGAAAAAAATTCCAGCACGCGCTCGGTGCCCAGCTTGTCACGATGCGCCGACGTGCGCCTATCTCCCACGCTTACTTTGCCCTGCGAATGGGGGGGGGGGGGCTTAAATGCTTGTCGTTTGGTGGAAAGTATCGCGCACCTTCGACATTGATCAGAACGATTGCATTTACCGTATTTACACGCGTAATCCTCGCACAATTCTCGCACCCGCCACATCGCCCAACAAAAATACGATTTCTTTTTTTTACTCGAGTAATTATCGCACTCCCAAAAACTGCTGCAATAATGTCGTCTGCTCTTTCCAACCACTGATGATGATAGCGCACGTCATCTGGCGCCATCTCCTAAGCATCAAGCGTACTATTGCACAGAGATTCATCCAATCCAATCCAAGCCGAAGTGGCCAGCGTGCGTTGCGGCGTGTTTTGTATGTTGCGTCGGTAACCTTGTCAAGTTATGAGGCGATACTGAAGCTGTACGGCTGCTTTCAAGTTGCAAGTGATGGATAATGCACTAAAGAACGGCAACAGGGCCGCCGGTAGGCCCTTGGGGTTATTGGTAAACTTTATTTCTTAAGAAGGAAACTGTGGACAATTCTGTTAAATAGCCATCATCCCAATACTGACGTCCCACGCTTACCTTTGAGGGCTCCTGTTGAGCGACGAACGCTACCGCTACGCCCACAATGTCCGCAAACTTTGCGTATGGTATTCTAATTCTCGACTATTTGCTTCCACTTTTTGTGTCTCAATTAAATCTTGTCTTGTGTTGAACCTCTGCTTTTATTGTTGAGGTAAGTTTTAATTAGTACTTCTTAAAGCTTGCTGTTGGTTGTTGGTGTGAGAATCCCGATTTGCGGCCACTTCGTTTTCTTTTCCGCTCTGTACGTTTTCGTAGAAAGTTTTCTCCGCGTAATTCTCGCACCCCTCAACTTTCCATCGGTTTTCCGGCAAAGAAAGTAGGAGGATTATGAGAGTACATACGGTAGTTGCCGGGCGCATAGCGAAGTATAAACTGGGGCGATTGTTAATTTGCACTCAGATCTGTACCTGTGATTACGTTTCGTGCCTCGGTTTTGTTTAAACAGCACGTTAAGTGTTGACCACTAAACGTTTAGTTTGTTCTCTTCCTGTGTATGTTGTTTTCGTGCGCGCTGCACGTTTCAATCTGCTTGCTGTCCTAGTGTTACATTCCAAGTTGCTATCGCATTCATTGCTTCGCCCTTGCAACGAAACTGTGGCTTTTCTTTTCTTAATTTCGGACAACCGCGTCGTCACCACTCGGGGGATGTCGGATTAGGCGCTGATGTAAACTCTCCGAGACCTCTGTGACGATGGATCTTCGGAAGTCGACTCGTCATGCGCTTCCGTCTTGCGCCGTGTCGCAGGTTTGCAGGCTCGTAGGTTTCGTGATTAACTGATTAGTGCTTGCAACATGACGGCCTGTTGAATGCAATACAATGAACTCATAAGAATATTAATATTATAAGAAGTAAAGCTGGCAGCCAATTCTTTTGGGTCTGATATCGCGGAACTTCTATAAAACACTTGTGTGATCAAGTACGGCCGCTCCCAGGAGAAGTGTTCTTTTCGCACAGTCCCTTCGCGTTGAAACTGCATTGATGCTTGCCGAGATAGCAAGCGCGCCAGCAATCACGACCGCTCTTAAAATCCGAGTTCATTATTGCTACTCGAGCGATCCTCTCCCCTCCCCTTCCTGTGTTGTTTCATGCTTCGACGGCAGTTCCAACACGCGGGAGATGTTATCTTATGCACTTTCCAGGCGATAGGAATGGGCTGACTGATTTGATCTCTGCTTCAGCAGCGCTAGCGCACTTTTACTCGCTCGTGAAAGTTATGATGTGCGTGGACATGTAATTAATTTGGACTTGTTACGGAACATGGCGGCGACAGCAAAAACACTTTGAGAGTGTCCATATAATTGCTGTTGCAATAATAACACAGTTTTTTCTGTAAAATAAGTGTTTTGGGTCAGCCCTGCCTTCAGTCCCCCTTTCGTTTAATTTGTGCATTTATTTTTTCGAATTTTCATACCAAACCTCCGTATAATGAATTCCTCTTTATAACAAATTCTACCAGGAATTTATCAATTTCATCATATTCACGTTTAAGTGTATAACATCGAAAATAACCTTAAAGTGATGCCACTTGTTTTGAATACCTAGGAGTTAGTATCATGCACACATTGCAGTGGCTCTCACATATCGATAAGACCTGTATTAAGGCAAATAAAAAACTGTATTTCCTAAAGAAAAACTGGAAAATTCCACACCGGATGCAAAACTAAAGGCTTACAAAACAATCATATGACCAGTCTTAGAGTATCCAAGAATTTTGTCTCACCGGAAGGTACTGTAGAAAAAAAAATTGAGAGAATACAGAAATTAGCGGTCTGTTTCATATGCACTAAGTACCAATGCATAGACAGCATCACGGTTTCGTTGAAGTCCTGTGAGCTTGAGTCTGAAATATCTCAAACATGGTGTCCAATTTCTTAAGGTTAAAAGTGGGCAAAAAAAAAAAAAAAACAAGGGTTTATATCTTCAGCTGCTTAGAAGGTGTTGTGATGGTCTCAATAATGGTGGAGCTATTAAACCGTATTTCACATGCACTAATGTTTTCCGCTACTCGTTTTTTCCGGTGGTAACATAAATGCGAAATAGTTTACCTAATGCGGTTATTCAACAAACAACATCAGTCAATTTTGAAGATGTATTAGGCTGTTTTTTTTGTATTGATGTACATCAACTTCTCGTGCAAACATTTGTTTCTAGATTTTTATCTGTATAGTCACTCTTTGTGAGTGAGTGAGTGAGTGAAATAACTTTATTATGTCCACAATAGGCGCGAGTTCACTCGACGTCACCTGTATGTTTGTTGCTTATTTTTCTGATGTTGATTATTCATCTGTTATTTCTGTGTGCTGTTGAATGTTGTTTTGTTTATGTGAATATTATGTATTATGTGACACACCCTCCCTGTAATGACCTCCAATGCAGGTTTGAAAGTATCAAATAAATGAATCTGTGCTTGTGTTGCAGAGCTGCCTGCGAGACTGCACTGAAAAGCTGTTGCAGCCCTGGGAGGCAATGCCAGCCTGGCTCGGCCTGCTAGAGACCCTGCTATCGTACGTGGAGGGGGGACCGTCACCGGCCTCAGAGTGGGTGCTGGGTGCTCTGCCACAGGAGCTGGACGCCTGTCTGCTCTCCACACTTCCACTGGTGAGCGCGATGCTGCTGTTTGGGGCTGCCGTTTGTGTCCCAAGGGGTCTTCGCAACAAAATGCAACTTTGAATGATCACGCATTACGTAGCATAGTGGTAGTCTTCGGAAATACCTTGTAATGCATGTAACTAATCTGCTGGCTTGGAAATAACTTAGAGCAATGCTGGGTACGGGGGGTGGTAGAGCAATGAGTGATTCAGTGTGCACTACACTGCACAGATAAACCGAATGCTCTTTCTCTGTGCCGCTCTTGAAGTGAGGAGAACGCTGGAGTGCACCCCTTGCCCCAGTGTTGCTGACTGAAAACTCACTGCACTGCTTTAGTGGTTGCTCTTCGTCATGTGGTGTGTGATTTGAAAAATGTTTTTGTGAAAGCCACAGGTAAGTTAAAAGTATAATCTTTGGTGTCAGCAGAAAACTAAACCAATCGCATCAGTTTTCCTGTGTGCCTGCCGGGAAAGCCTTGTTACATTGAAATCATGGATGAGTACCATGCATTATATCGAGGCCCGAAGGTTATAAGTTCGATCTGGGCCGCAGTGGTCACATTTCGATGGAGGCAAAATGGTAGGGGCCTGTTTAACGTGCGATGTCAGTGCACGTTAAAAAACACCAGATGGTCAAAATTTCCGGTGCTCTCCACTACGGCATCTCTCATAATCATACCATGATTTCGGGAGGTAAAATCTCACATATTATTATTATTATTCATTATATTGAGGTAAAAAATGCATGGTATTTGATGGATGTGAACAAAGTAGTGAAAACTTCATTTCATATAATTTCATAAAAATCTACATTATACTGAAGTTCTCTACATTAGGGCATATCTGTAGGGGCAGTCAGTGATTCCCCGTCTGCAATTCCATCTAATCTTATGGCTCTGCAGCCTCGGAACTTTTGACCACTCGTGTACGTTGATTGAAAAGAAGACCACTGCATAAACAACTGTTTTTGAGAGCATCCTCATTACTTCGCAACAAAGACAGACAACCACTTGGCTATTCATGGCGTTTGGTGTGACTGTAGAGCTTACTTCCACCAGAAGTGCATTGGGCACAGCTACCATGATACTGCGCTCAGGAAATGGGTGAGGCACTTGTAGTTCATTCCACAAATCCTGCGTCACTTTACCATCACAAATGACAGAGCACTAACCAACAAAGTGATGAATTGTCTATGCAGCTCAGTGATCAAGTGCATTACACAGCGCAGGGCGCATGTCTTCAGTCCCTTGGTCATGGCCGCATAATTAGCCCACCAAGAATTTGTTGATAGCGCTGTGCGCTGTTTTTACAGCGAAGCTCTTTACCTCCAGTCTAGGCGTTCCAAGGGGTTATTTTAATGGGCTCATGTTCCTGTGTGGCCACTGTATATAAAAAAAAATGTGTAGATTGAAAATAAATTACAAATTTGGCAGATCTCACCTAGTATGAGAATAGATGTTATGCAAAGCATGCGGAGAGAAGGTTCGAGATGTTATGAAATGACGCTAAAGATATGTACAAACGTATGCACAGACATGTACCATATTTACTCGTATAATATACGCTATCGCATAACACATAATAGGTGCACCCCTAGTTTGGTTGCGAAAAATCAGATTTTTTTTTTTACGTGCAAAATAAGCACACCCCGAACTTGGCCGTGATTAGTACTACTGAACCATATACGCACGGTTGCCATTCGATGCCCTCTTATGTTAACTGCGGGGAAAAAGAAACGGACAAGACCGTGGCAGCACTGCGCGGGCTCGGCGAGTGAGGAAAAAGTGCAGTCTGTCGCCTGGGTGTCAGAGTAACCTTTGCACCGGCGCCGACGTGGCTCCGACGGCGCACGCTCCACATGGAAGGGATTGCATCCTCATCTAATGCACTTTAAGTTTCCTGTCATGAAAAGAGCCGTCGTTTCTAGGTCTTCCTCAAATTTAAAAGCTATTTGGCAATCCGACGTAATCTTTCGCCTTTACTGCCACTATGTGGACTCGCACAAGCTTGGCGAACTTTTGTCAGCACCGATTTTCTGTCCGCGAACCTAAACATCGTATCACGCAGGCTGCTCCTGGATTAGTACTTGAGTGCAATCATTTTGATGCCCAATCTTCATGTCTTTTACAAACTTTCCGCGACAACATGCCAAACCATGCCACACTGTAGGCTAGGTCTAATCAGCATTGGTTGCTTTTCGGTGGTAGTCATGAGCAATCAAAGTTGCTGCTTTGTACGGAATTAAAGTAACTTTTTGGGGTGGCTCTACGTGAAGGAAAGGGGCATGAGTGGTACTTGTAACACTCGAATGGTGGTTTGCAATTCGATAGCAATGGATATCGGTATTAGCAACACCAGAAGTGGTAAGCTGATGTGTGGTGCTTGTGCCAGCAAGGGTGGCAGCCCTGGCCACTGCTAGAAAAATGAGCGTCAGTGAATGGCGCTTCACTACAATTGTTGTTAACCCACCGTGACAACTGTATGATAGGAGTACGCAGGTGCTGTTCATAAGATTGGATAGCCAGCACTGCAACTACAATTGACATTTTATGAACATTACGGTTTACTTGAAAAGCAATTTCGACACCTGGCGTAGCTCTGTGGTAGAATACTTGATTATCATGCAGAATGTTGGGGTTTGATTCCTCCTGGGAACTTGATATTTATTCTATGCGCTCGTTGGGTCAACGCTGCCAGTGCCAGCTTTTAGGGGCGAAGCTCCTTAGGGTCGATCTAGTTGGTGTCTATCATGCCCCACAAAATAGATATCGAAACTGAACACCTGCACAACGAAAAACGAAAATGTATGGGTAAAAAACCGATCTTATGTGTACAGCAAATAAGCATACGACAGCACAATGCATGATTACCTGCATGGTCCATCTGTTCGTCCATTCATGTGTCCACCCATCTGTCCGTTCGTCTGTTCATGCATCCGTGTATGCATCCACCTGTCCGTCTTTTATACCAGTCGGCGACTTCAACGTAGACATTATGGACCTTAGGACCTATAGCTTTGCCCGGCACGGCATGGCAAGGCACCAAAAATGCTTGCAGTATGCAAAGAAATGTTTTGCATTGAATGAAGCAGATGGCAGAGCTGTCTGAGTGTACCATGTGGTGGCACTTGGCTTGGATTTGTGGTGCTGCTTTAGTGTGACATAGAGCACTGAGAAAAACTGGAGATGGCAAGACAGTGACCATTTGTGAATAGTGAATCACTATATGCTTTGAATTTGAAGCGAATAGCGATTTTGGTTGAATAATTTATAATCAAATTCAAATAGTGTGCAAATTCAAATAGTGTGCAGTCAAATCCCGCTATAACGAAATTGATGGGACACGTGAAAACATTTGTAGTTGTGCCAAAATTTCATTATAGACAACAAAATTTGGTAAGCTCTGATGATTATGACTTGCCCTTTGGTCCCAACAAGCACGTGCATTGAACTCTCGCCAACTCAGCCATACCTGGCTGAACACTGAGCGAACATATTTTATCGTGTACAACGTGATAAAATATACAGAACATTTTAAGCTCAAGTTGGGGTGCAAGTTATACGAGAATTTTGGTGTGCAAGTTGGCTTTATGGCATGGCTTCATGACAATGTAAAGAAGGCGGCCTTGCGTTGTCTGCACGGGTAGTTTTTTCTTTTTCCCGTGGTTTGCTGTCGGGGGTGCCGGTTATATGCAGGGGTGGGTTATACAGAAGAACATACAATATTCAGACTACCCTTGGGGAGTGCCGAGGGCACAGCGCCGCGAACAAGCGTGCTAATGCTTCGCTAGAGGCCACTTGATAACTGCAGCTGAAAGTGACGAAGCACGTCCTCAGGAAATTGCTAATTTTTTAGTCGTCTTGTTCAATAAATCTTTACACAGTAGTTCTGTACCAATACAATGGAAAACAGCAGGAGTTGCTCTCATTTATAAAAGTGGTCCTAAACATTCTATGCATAACTATAGACCAATTTTGATGATTTCTGTATATTGTAAAACGTTAGAACATAATGCCACGGGCATGGAACGAGATTGAGCTATGCCAATGCGAGTATATGCCATTTTGCGACAAATAAGGAGACTGGTTGTTGTGCTTGTGGTCAAACATTCGGTTCTGCTCGGCGTCCAGTACTGCTGCTCCTGTGAACAGACGTTGTGGTCTATCCGTAATCACGTGACAATATCATTTACCGTGCTGTGATGAAACACCTCGAAATAATGGTTTCTTTTCACCTGCTCAACATGGGTTCAGGTCTGGCTTGTCCTGCACAACACAGTTGGTTGAATTTCGCCATGATCTTTTTTACTCCTACGATTCAGGATTTCAAGTTGATTGCATATTTTTAGATTTTAGAAAGGCTTTCGATGCTGTTCCTCATGATTTGTTATTGCATAAATTATCATCTCTCTGTATTCATCCGGCAATAGTTGTTTGGATTAAAAATTATCTTTCTGGAAGAACACAGCATGTTATAATTAATGGCTTTATGTCAACTGGGATAACAGTTACTTCGGGCGTACCGCAAGGATCTGCTTTGGGACCTTTGTTATTTTTTATTTATACCAATGATATTTTGCAGGGTCTTCAATGCAATGCCGTGTTATATGCAGATGACTGCGTCATTTATAGGAACATAATAAACAAACATGATGTCATTAGCCTAAAAACCGATTTAAACACAATTAAAACTTGGTGTTCCACATGGTGTATATTTTTGAGTAGTACTAAATGTCAATTTATATCTTTTACCCGCAAACATTTGCCTGTGAGATCGGATTATCATTTGGACAACATATACCTTGAACGGGTACAGCATTACAAATACCTTGACGTTTATTTTTCAGAAAATCTGTCATGGACTAGGCATATTGAACATGTTACATTAAAATCTTCAAAAATGCTTAACCTCATTAGACACAGCTTTCACAAAGCGCCCAGGAGTGTGAAAGAACACCTTTATAAAACGAACCTTCACTCATTACTTGAGTACGCTTGTGCAGCATAGGAG